CACAACTTACTTACGCCTGTTACCCTTCATGGAGGAGCATAGACCAAACACCAGCATTCTCCATCCAACTCTCTCCTGGATAATCCTTTCCAGTTGCTATTCATCCTATTCACGTCTGCTCCCCATTCTCGGCACAGTGTGTTCTTTGGCTCTCCTCCTTTCCGCTTCCCTTCAGGATTCCAAGTTAGCGCTTGCTTCCTGATGCAGTTTGATGATTTCCTCAATGTATGCACTATCCACTTCCATCGTCTTTTCCTGATTTCCTGTTCAGCTCGAAGTTGGTTTGTTCTCTCCCACAGTAGGCTGTTACTGATGGTATCCGGCCATTAGACATTCAGTATCTTACGTAGACAACTGTTTATAAATACTTGTAACTTTTTGATGATGGTTGTGGTAGTTCTTAAAGTTTCAGCCCCGTACAATAAAACTGTCTTGACGTTCGTATTGGAGATCCTTACTTTGATATTGGTTGACAATTGTGTTGAGTTCCATATGTTCTTCAATTGTAGGAATCGTGTCCTTCCTTTGCCAATCCTCGCCTTTATATCTGCATTCGATCCTCCCTATACATCGATGATGCTCTCCAGGTACGTGAATATTTCTAGCTGTTCTAGAGTTTCTCCACCAAGTGTGATCGGGTTGAAGTTCTCTGTATTGTATTTGAGGACTTTGCGTTTACTCGAACAATCTTATATTCTTCGGATTTTTCTGTCTCAATGTAGGGACTATATTTAGTTTGTTCTCTGAGCTAAGTGATTTGGTCGTCAAGCTTCCATTGTTATTCTGAAAGACACCATGAATGATGTGTCTAACAAGAAGTCTCATACTAAAACGAAAGTACAGTTCAATCCTTCCTGGTATTTAACAGTTATCTAAGGTTAGTCAGTGGCATAAACTATGAAAATTTTGTTATGCATGATTTTCAGTGATTCCTCACATTACCTAATTCTATGATGAAAACACCTACTTACAAACTACCAAAAACCACATCATAATCACGTAATCACTGTTGAATAGTCCTAAAGATGGATTTCATGAAGTTCAATTAAGAGGTCGGTATTTTTAGGGTAAGGTTCAGTCAACGCAGCACTTCGCCAATGATAATTGATAAAGAATATACTATCTGAACGATTCACCAAATTTGAAGATCTGAGGAATCGGATTCTGGGTTGTACCTTAAAATAGTGCGCCTACAACCAAACCTGGTAATCCTTGATATCTAGTCATATCTAGTCATATCGAAATGAGATAAAAGAACTGCCTAATAATGTCTATATTCAGTTATTTTTTGTCTGATGAAATAAAAATACAACTTGAATCTCCTATATATATATATATTATGTAGGCTCTTATTTCACTACAAAAAATAAGGAAATTCTAATCGGAAAGTGATAGCGATCTCAATGAAATAGACAGTTTAAGCCTAGAAAAATTTAAGATTCAGGGATACCATACATAAACACTGAAATTCAATCAATAACTTCCTTTTCTAATCATACCGATGTCAGGTGATTACTTCCAAAGAATTATTTTTACCATAGTAACACAAAATGTGGACATATTGAAAATTTAATACGTACACACAGACAAAATTAATAGTTTCCTAATTCTACATCACATTTTTAAGAATATTTTCTAATTAGTAACTTACATTAAAACGTTAAATGAAATCTGGCAATCAGTGTTAAATAGGAAACAAAATTAAAATATTAGAAAAAAACCCCACTATTTTTGTTTTCCAGTAATTACCATAATCCCTAACACATTAGAAGAAAGATTAATTAAAATTCCATGATACAAAATTGGGATAACACAAGGATAAATTTCAAACTATCAACTCAGTGAGTTAATTTTATAACAAACAAAATATTCACGTTCTTGATATGAAAATGACAAGAAAACAAGATGGAACTCTAGGAAGATCTATCTACATGAAAACCATGTGGAATGACAAACTATCAAGTTTCCACAGCTGGGTGCCCATTAATCGAAACAGAAACTTAATAATGTCACTCGCCACGTGAATACAAGGAATTAGTAGTTCTGAGGTCAAACTGAGCCTCCTAAAGGAGATACTTATGAAAAACGAGTATCCTTCAATATTCATTGGTAAGAACATAAAAACCAAAACCGACGAACACACAAATAACTTCAGTCGAAAAGAAAACATCATACATAAAAATCTACTTTAAGGGTGACAGAGCCACATACGTCTTAAAGAAGAGAATTTCTGATTCTTTAAAAAATTGTTCTTCGCAGCCAAGTTGTGAATAGTATTCTCCAGCCGTTCATTGTTTACCAATAATCTTAAGGATAAATTATCTCATCTGATTAAGTGTGCACTTACCAATTTACCTGCTCGTATGGAGCCAGGTATATAGGTCGTTCTATGAGTACTTTATCCAAAAAAAATCAGGAACATTATTGTGCGTGTGTAAGAAAAGGAGAAAACGGCTCAATAAGAAGTTCAATAATCAAATATATTGTGAACACAGGTCAGTCAATCAAGACAGACTTTGAGCTCAAAGTCATCTACAAGGTAAGTAGAAGTTTTCCAAAGACAGTTATATTGCATCTTCTTGTATGTCCAAAAGAGATTGGTACAACCTGTTCTTATACTGTGGACTTAATATCTTATAATTTTTCTAATACTCTTCTTCCTTTATAGCGATCTGCTTCCCCTTACATCTTCTCCATTTAATCTTCCGCCCCTAACTGGTTTATTTCTGTTTCTACGATCCTCCTGACTACATTTAATCTCAATTCCAACATTTTATCTTATCATGCTGAACCATCCTCTCCACTGTTCTTTTTGTCTACTTACATAACATGAATCAAAATGATACTGTTTAAAAAGAAAGTGTTTTTATTTTGGTGCAGATAATTCAACCTAGAACTAATTATTCTTAGCAAAATGATTATTTCGAAAGGAAATATTCTTGAATAATCCCGATACGATGTACCATAATGATTTTGAAAAAATTGAAAACAAAGAAGTGGAAACTCTCCCATTCGTGATTCAAACTGACAAAAATGTCCAACACAAAATAAACTAATACCAGAAGGGGTTTTTGTGGATATTATAGTAATTTTAATAGTTGAGATCATGAATCGATAAAAGCTAGATCACTATGAAAAACCTGGAAGCACTGAACGGCCGTTCAGTCTCACTGTGGGACTCTTTAGAGGTGCGCATCCACAATCTTTAGAGGTTAAGTGCTCGTGCGCGAGACTGATAGGTTCTGGGTTCGAATCTCACGTGGGGTGGGATCGTGGATGCGCACTACTGAGGAGTTTCACAATGGGACGAAACGGCCGTCCAGTGTTTCCAGGTTTTCCATGGTGATCTAGCTTCAATTGACTCATGATCTCAACTATTGAAATTGCAAAATAAATTGTAACATTATGAATGTATAGTGGGAAAAATTCATGACAACACTTAAAATATACCCGTATCTATTTGATTAACTAACTTAGTGAAACTTAATTTGATGAATTATATATGGATAGAATATCCACTATGGAAAATTTGACACTATGATTAGTTTATTGAGGAAGCATTCGTTTCTGAAACTAGATTTAAGAATTATTTATGGAAAACAGTTACTGATTTTTAGTAGACCACTAATAATAATTTTACGGTATTATGTTCCCTGAACAGAATAATTTAACAATAAAGCTTTCATTATCATTCTACACAATATTATCGGTGACTATAATTCTACTCGATAATTTTATCAAGGTGTACAATTGCAATGTAATCATCTACCTGAGACAATATAACACCACTATAAGCTTGCCTCTTCAATAACGAAATCCCGAATATTTACAATGGAAATGATTATTCTTTTCAAGTCATTATCTTGATATAAGCAACAATACATACTCATTAAACTATGATAATAAAAAATATCTTTCAATTACTAGACCATTAATTTTGTATGACGAATTACTAATTATATAGATACCTACTTTTATAGGCTTGTCTAGGTTGTCAAAAATATATAATTATATGAAAGTAACTATTATCCATAAATGAAATCTGTTGGATTGATTATCAGTCTAATCCGTATGGATAAATACCAACGACCTACGTAGTGTCAGAGACATTGAATGGTTAAAAAATTGGTCTATCAGTTGCATTTATTATTATTATTATCTGTTTAATATTAAATTTTCGGTTCTCTATTTTTTTCTACTATCAGTGGTAGTACTACTTCTATCATTATACATGAAATTCAGCTTGTTTATTAAATCACAATTTATGCCAGTGAAAATATATCTCAGCTCCTACGTTGCTTGCGAGTAGTCGACATCATTCAAGTAATCATTAAAAACTATGAAACATTAACCGACTATTCTATCCTTAGTGAGACTTATCCATCTTATGATAAACATATTCTCTTTAAACAACTGCTTCTTCAACTAATATCAGCTTGTAATTTAATAGTTATTTCAGACTTTTAACATAAGTTTATAGTTTATTTTATAAATTTCATGTAATTCATATACATGTTTATTCACATCATTTTGAACCATACAATTTATATACTGATTAGTGATACTATCCATTAATCTAAACTGAACACAATTGGAAGTGGATTGGAACATAGAACTTATTGAGTACATATTAACTAATTTAATTCATAACCACCTACCATGATATACCATTATATTCATAGAAACATATATCAACAACAAAAAAACTTCTCTACTTTTGTCCCATTCTAATTTCTATGACTTACCCTTAAAAAAAATGTAAACAACAGATCGATAAAACTAAATACAATAATTGAATTTCTATAAACCAGGTTAAACTCTTTCATGAATCTAACTAATAATAATTTGTAACCATTCAAGAAAAAAACAAATAAATGGAAAATTTAAACATAAAAGACCAAATAAAACAATAACTCCCTTCTATGATAATCATGATGTTGATGACATCGATTCAATGTAGAAATGACTATCATGAAAAATTAGCAAAGAAAAAAGGATATCCCCATTCAATGATAATTTTTGAATATTTTCTAATTGCATTCTCTTCAGAGAATATAAATAATGTTTTATGATTAGATGGATGTAATCCAGGTATACCAATGGCTAATGTACGTCTAGCTAAATTACGCATTGTTTCATCTTTAGATATTTCTAAATTATTTTCATTCTCTTTATGAATATTTAATTTAACAGTTAATGGTATAGTTGAATTAGTAGTGGTTACAGTAGTTATAGTATTAGTAGTAATGTTAGTAGTTGTTGTTGTGATTGTATGAGTGTATGATTTTTTAAAAGAATCTAATTTTTGATAGATTATTCCACTATTTAAATCAAAATCATCATAATTATGAGATTTAATATGATCATTTTGATTTGTATAATTTGAAAGATTACTTTTTATCTTTATTATATCAGTTGTTTGATTATTATCATTATGAGCAATTTGATTTTCTTTATTATTCACATTTTTCACTTTGGTTATTTCCTTTGCTTCATCTGTTTCATCCTCTTCAAGATTATCATCCCGAAACCTATCAGTTGATATATTATTGTTACCTATACTGATTGTATTTGAAACTGATATATCATTCACTTGACTTGTAACACTTGTATTAATGTTACTCTGATTTGATTTATGCATTTCATGACCTCTATGATCAACCATCGTTTTTTTTATTTGTTAAACCATTTTATATAAACGGTAAAACTTTACATTAATCTTTAAGATAACAAAATAACATTTTGAAATAACTCCTAAAGGTGAAGTTAATTTTGTTTCAACACTTTTAATTCCATAATAGAGAAGACTCTAATAGTTTACTAGCCTTAATAACTTCTTTTTTTTATTATTATGTACTGGTTGAATTCAAGATCATAGAAATTTGCTTGTAGACAAATTGATAACTGAATAAATTGTTTGAAATAAGATAATCCACGGATAGTGTTTCATGATTACTTCTCTCCTGTTGTTGCTAACGTTCCTGTAGTCATTTTTTTTTTAAATGAAAGTTATTAATCCTGTGAAATTTCGTTATTATTAATTGAAAGAATAGTAAGAATGACTAATAATAATATTAGTAATAATAATAATCTGTAATGAGCAGTTCCAAGGAATTATGCATGAATAGGATAATTATACATATAAATATACATGATAGAAGTATGACTGTCGGCGTCGTTTCTGATCGATAGATAGACACATGCAACTAAGCGATTTTTCCTCATAGACAAAATAGTAGAACAAACACAAACCAGAAATTATTTTATTTAACTGTCAGATATGAACTCAATAAAATAACATATATAGATATATGAATGTTACTGTCCACATTATACACACATACACAATTTGAGCATACTCATAAATGTGTATATGGATATGTTTAAATTATACATATAGATGTACAACAATGACAGAAATGTCTTGGATAACACCTGTCTAACACGTGAACAGATATGTCTCTTTCTCCAATCTAATCATAGGCCAATAAAAGGAATGATCGAATATCCCCACAACAACAAGAAAAAATAATAAAGAAAAATCAGATATGAGGACATAGATAAGCACTCTAAAAGAAAGATTTCATTGTCCATTCAAAAGTCACGTATTTAATTTGTAGAAATTCGTCAATAAGAAAAATTTTATTTGATTAAAATATAAATGAAAGAATAAATCTTGAAATTAGTATTAATTTCATACCCTAAGTAATTCCGCACAAAAGAGTAAGCTTGTGTAAAACATAATAATTATATTGTATGTATGCAATAGATTATGTGGCAATAGATATAATATGAACATATAAGTGGTTGGAGGTAGTCGGCAATAAATCCTCAGTCAGTCAATCAGTCAGCTACAACGTAGGACCAGGCACATATATGCATCGGTCCAAGTTCCCATACCTCATTAACACAACCCGACCGTTGTTGGTACCTTGACATGGTGGTCAGGCTTACCTATCTTGATGAAGCAACCAAGCTATACTGGCTGGAACAACCGTTTCTCAAGGTCCTACCATGTCAGAAAGGTCGGTTAAAGAGCGATAAGACTAAAAGCAACAAACCCAAGGTCCGAAGGCAAAGTCGTACTGCTGACTGTACAGAAGTGTGACAACATTAAGGCGTTTCCTTCAAACAACCAGCATGACATCGATGCCGCCTTCCCACAAGAAAGGGTGGGGTTAGGAAAGGTCCATCCTAAAAATGAACACCTCGTCTAATCCCACGGATATCCGTCTCCCGCGGTAAGGTCTCAACAAGTACGGAGCTAACACAAAAATTACCCATAAAAAGGTCGTGTGTGACCGACCTCAAGCAATTGTCCCTTGGGTACTGCAGTCACGCTCTCAGGTCACTAAGACCACCTCTAATCCAATTTCCTTTTCAGGCACCTCCAGAAGAACCCTTCCATGATGTGGGCAACCGGGAAGTGATAACCGCCCTCATACCTCTAACAGCACTCAAGACCACTGTATTCATAATCAACCTCCCCCTGGCAATAAATCCTGAGCATAGATTTCGTGATACTGGACACTTATCAGTAGAACACATTTGCAATATTGAAGAAACTGGTGCTCCTTGGCTGACTTGATTCAATATCACACGACTTCATAATTTGAGACGTTGCCACTGAGATAGTTAAGCTGCGAATGACTCTTGACATATTCACAATAGATTATTTAGTGAATAGTAACCAAATCCATTTTTAGGTTTTCTTGTTGATTATATCCAAACATCCTATACAAATTCACAGAGAAACCCTATGTTAAGTTAATCGAACTAATGACCATATTACAAATCGATCGATAGGATTCGACCACTACTAAAGAACTAGACAAACATGATATCGGACACCACTCAGTGATCAGTTAGTTATAATATGAATTAATGCTACTAACTAAAAAGACGTTAGAAACTCTTGCTAAAATCTCTGAGGCAATCGATTAGCTTGTCTACTTGAAAAATCTAATTCATTTTCAATCTTACCTTTCAATATCTAGTGTAATGTCACACATTAAATACAGCAGTTAATCTGAATTGTCCCCACTTAAGTTTAACTGCCTATTTATGGTAAATTCTTATCTTAACTTTTCAAGTTTTTCAATAAGTTAAACTGAAGTCAAGTAGAAAGATAGTTATGTTGGGGATGCTAGATCCCCAGAAGTCACTTAGTAAACGTCTTACTTTTGTAATTTTATTTCAAAATTTTGATTTTCTCATTTTCGTGCTAAAAGCGTCCATTATTACCTTCAGTTTTTATTTACCGCTTGGAAGGACCTTAAATATCACTGGTTTATTCTCTCTGTTAATACGCTATTTTGTGACGTTTCCCAAAGACATTTTTATACTGTGTGAATCTTTGATCAGTATAGGTTGGCTTCAGTACACTTGAATCTCAAGTTTGCACATACTGGTTATGGTGATCAGGATTTCGAAGAATGACAGTATGTTTTCTGGTTTCGCTTGTGATTTAAACATTTCATCATCGAAAAAATTTTCGGAACAAATTGTTAATAATCTACCGCTAATCATTTTTTGCTACGACAAATGTGACGTCTTCACGGCATTTTCAAAGTTTTTGGCTTGATCATTGATAAGACTGAAGATTTCAGTCTCAATTATGGTTTCTTCAGTTAATCCAGATACTAATGATATCCCTGGGGCTCCTTTAGTTTGTTTGTATATGTTACAGTTGAATTAGAAATATGTTTATACACGTACAATGATGGCAGCAATTGAGTTTTTACATTAGGTTTTCGTGTGTTTGCAAAGGTTTGTATTATTGATGTGGATAAAGGATAGATTTTGGTTCAATTAAGTTGTATAAGGCTATTATGTCGAAAGATGTCACCAATTCATCATTGAAGATTTCACAGTTGGCAACCTTTTGTTTCTTAATATTATTGTAATCTTTGTAACTCATCTATGTTAGGCAACTGATACTTATTCTTACTGGCAAATTTACCTTATAAAGTATTTGGTTTATCGTGACTTAATTTAATTGAAAATTATATCTTTCATCGTCTTAACAGAGTGGATTGTCGCCATTAATTGTTGTTGTGTATTAGCCTTTATTCTGTCTGTCTAATTTAATCTAGCCTATGTACGTCCTCACTTTGTTCTATTCAAATCATACAAATCGATGACAGATATTGGTAACTAATCGTCTAATCATCTCAAAAAATGATTAAAAAACCAGTTAGGCGAAACTTCGTATCATCTACAACTCAAGAAATAATCTGAAAACTTTATAGGATGTTTGCACGAGAATTCCAACACTTCATAACTACAAACATTTTGTAAGACAACTCTTTCGGCTCCATCTGGAGTCTTTCTAGGGTTCTAGTCGATCTCAAGACCAGGCAAAAGTAAGAGATCTGGGTATGTAATTTGTAACTCCATTCAGTAGGAGAAAAACTCGCTAAAAATGTTAACCAGAAAATGTCATTCAAATTATCTAAACTCTGCTATGAGATTGGAAGGGCTTTCATTTAGAAGCGGTATAGAGCCTCATAATGAAAGCCAAGGTTATTCGGAAACCACGAGGCCTACTCCCCATTATATCAACCAGGGAAACAAATAACATAGGTCTCAGGAGAGTCCGGACAATGTGAAAGACTGGTGAGGAATAGTCGAATAGCGGCGGAAATGAAAAGATACAACCTGGCGGTGCATAGAACACAAAATATTAACTTCGGGAGAGCTGCTGTTGTACTCCGGTCATGACGAAGAAAATGCCGAGCTTTCAACAAGATGGTTATAGGTAGTACTATATTCTCTCACAAACTCATACAAAAAGCTACATAGTTTTCGCATGACTACACTAGAGAACCATAACGATAACATTTACATCCTTAAAATGTTCGAAAGGTTCATGAAAGATGTACGAACAAAGATATGGGCTAACACAGCTTCAGACCACCGCCTTATGGTGTTTAATACAGCTGTTCTTTGAAATACTGTAATAGATGTATGCATATTTACTCTTTTACTCTATTCTGTATGACTTGTTAGATATAAACTGATATGAACTGAACCAAGACATAAAATGACATTTATGAAATTCAACATTTCACTTAAAGATATTCTAGATTTGTCCATTTCTTTGTTTTCCATATCATCCTTTACATTTATTCTACAAATGAAGAAAATGAAATGATATACTTGATAGTTTTATATAATGAAACTTTAACCAACATCTTTTTCGGTCTATTGAAGCATACAATAGTATCATGTTTTCTTTCAAATGAAGTATGAAATAAACCGTTTTTATTTCAGGAAAAAAAAGTAAGAAAAAGCTTAAACATTGGAAAATAGTCGACTACTGATTGTACCAACTAACAGACCGATCATGAACGCTGACTATTCTCTTTAATTTATTAAAGTTATTATTATTATTACCAATGGCTTTATGCAATATTACGTTTTTGGTACTATATAGAATTCTCAGCACAAGGTATTTCAACAAGATTTTGTTGAAATATTCAGATAGGAGGAACAGGTAACCCAGTTATTTAAGCAGGTCTTCAGAGGTTAATATAAATTTAATACAATGTTAAAATTTGAAGATAAATAGGTGATATTTCAGGTAATTTGATTTTGGATAAGCAATCATTGAAATTCTGTGGTCATAATACATGTAACATTCGACTATCTACTAATTTAATC